CTGTTGTGGGGAGGGGAGGGGAAAGGAGATTGTAAGCCGCTCTGAGACTCATTTGGGTAGCGAAGGGTGGGGTATAAATCCAATCTCTTCTTCTTAATTCTACCCTGCACTTAGGTTTCTTCTGTACGGGTGACTCTGCCCCTTGTGGCAGCCATTTTGTAGATGGCTCCACCTCTTGCAGCAGCCATTTTGTAGTTGCCCCCACCTAGGGTTGCCATTTCCCAGGTCCAGGCGGGGAATCCTCCAGTTTTGGGAGCTTCTGCTCGCCACTGGCCACCTGATCGGTAGGGGATCCCCTGCCCCCAAACAGCAACACACTGATGTCACACGGAGTTGACATCGTGTTGGGGACATCACACAGCAACACTAGTTTGGGGGCAAAACTCTATGGTTTGACCCCGATTTTACCATAGAGTTCTGCCCAGAAACCAGAGCATTGCCCCTGAGACCACCAATACGATGACATCACTTCCCAGTGACGTCAGTGCATTGGGGACGTCCCCGCCTACTCCCAGAATGCCTGCCAGATCCACCCACCAGCAAAACGAAGGGACCTGGCAACCCAAGGCCCACCTACCCTGTGTCAGAATTCCAACGGTGCCCAGAGGCTTAAAGATAGTTGAGCATGGCAGCATAGTTATGAAAAACAGCAAATGAGTCCTTTATAAGGGGGGAGTAGTCAGTTTTCTGGGGAAAGTACAAATGCCTTCTAGACTGGTCCTAGCCCAGATTTTGTCTGTTGAGCTAACTGACAGTACTACGGGACATTAAAATATTTCCAGATATTTGGCATGCAGAACATCTGAGGCTCACTAGAGGGTCAATCATGGTTTCAATTAGTCTCTGATCAACTAGCTGTCCCTGCCGAAGCACTAGGCCAGAGTCAGGGGCTATGTAAGGCCAGACGGGACCCTCTTGGCTTCTCATCGCATCTCATCCCTGCTAAACTAAAAGCTGCAACACCCTGTTTGGCCTGCAGCAGTGGTGGCGCTGTAGTGCCCGAGAATTCCAGCCAGCAGTCCGTACTTCCGGCAAGCGATCCTGACGATAGCCCTCTTGTCCCAGCCCCAACTTCAACACTCCTGGTGCCTTCCATAGGCTTTGTGTCCCTAGAGTCCCTGTGTAGACTAAGTTTAGTTGTACTCTAGGCCTACATACCTCTCTGCTTCCTCCTTTTCCCTTGATTCCAGGAAACTGGATTTCCTAGACAGAGAAGTTCTGAACAGCAAGTATGGTTACATGGGGGGGCGATGAATGCTCCCTAGGGAGAAGCATTTTTAGTCATTTTGTATGACAGCAGCCTATTTTCTAGCTTGGTTTTATGGGAGCTATTAGGGGTTCACTCCTTCAAAAATACACGACTGTCTTCTTCTGAATGCTGTCCTAAGCAGTGTTAAACCCTTCTAAGTCCATCACGGTCAGTGAGCTTAGAAGGGCGTAACCCTGTGTAGGATTGCACTGTTAGAGTTCTTCAAACTGTCGCAAAATTAAGGGGTCGTTTGGGAGAAGAGGTGTATTGTTCAACACCAGTGATGTCACCATGGAACTCCAGGCTGCCCAAACTATTACAGCAGCCATTCTACCTGGACGGAGGAGGGGATAAGAATCACTTTTGTGTGTGTGCAAGTACTATCCTCCTGTTAAGTCACTCGCTTAACAAAGCAGTCAGAGAGTGATTCAGCAAGAACACAACTTTATTCTTCAACTCGAACACAACTCGAACACGGATCAACATCAGATAGCCAGAACAGAACAGTTCAGGTTTTCCATTGCAGTTGTCCTGCTTTTAAACGTTCCCGGCTAATATAGCCATGCCCACTGTACAATTACCAACCAATGAGGTTGTCCCAATAAAGACCAATCACAAGCGTTCCCGCTCAGGGAGCTTGCTGTGAAGTGATTGGATGTTAGTTCCTGGGCTAGTAACCTGATTGGATGTATTTGGATCCTAGCCCAGGACGAAGCTCAACATGGCAACACTATGCATTCAATAGGCAGCTCATTGAATACATTACAATTCCTCCCCCCTAAGTACAATCATAACCACTTAGGTAGGTCGGTGCTCGGCGCACTCGCTGAGACCTACGTGGCCGTGTAGGCTCAGGACACAGCTCAGCTTGGGGGACTCTGCATGACTCTGGGACCTCAGAGTCAGGAACACTTCCATCCATAGTTGCGGGTCCGAGAGTAGGGGTCTGCCCTGCCTCTGGGACAGTACTGGGCTCAGCGGGCTTGGCAGTACTCACCTCCGGAGGAGGTCGGGGAAGGTCCTCAAGTTCGGGGGACTCAGCTGACTGGGACTCTAGGTGTTCCTTTGCCCACCGCTGCCTCAGCTGGTCTATGTGTCGACGCCACTTGCGACCATCAGCAAGATCGACAACATACATTCTGGAACCCTGCTATTCAATGACAGTGGCTGGTAGCCACGAGTGACCCCCTGTATAGTTGCGACTGAAGACTTTGCCGCCGGGTACGAACGTGCGGACCTTTGGGAGCGCACATTGCTGCTGGGGCTTGAGATCATTTAGATCAGGGTGGAGTCGATCTAAAAACGTGGCGAGGCGGTGCCCCATCAATAGCTCAGCCGGGCTGCGACCTGTGGCTGAGCACGGGGTAACATGCTGGCGCAGCAAGAATGAGGCCAGTTTTACCCCCCAATCACCCTGGGTGAGTTTAGCCAGAGCCTCTTTGGTCATACGGACCATTCTTTCCGCCTGGCCGTTTGAGGCCGGGTGGAACGGGGCTGAAGTCAGTTGCCTGATGCCGTTGTCAGACAGGAACTGACTGAACTCCCAAGAGACAAATTGAGCGCCGCTGTTGCTCACCAGTACGTCCGGCAGTCCGTGGGTGGTGAACAAGCGATGCAGCACATTGATGACGGCAGTCGAAGTGGTGGAGGACATGTGCGCAACCTCCAACCACTTAGAGTACGCGTCAACCACAATTAGGAACATTTGTCCCTGCACAGGCCCCGCGAAATTGAGGTGGAGCCTCCACCAAGGTTTTCCCGCTGATTCCCACTTCTGCGGAGTGGCAGTAGGTGGTTCGGGCCTTGCCTGCTGGCATGGCGTACACACTCAGACCCATTCCCCTATGTCGGC